TCAAAACAGTGTCGACGTGTCAACCTTCGTTAACACAAACCTAGTTGGACTCAATCAAAAGTTTTGATGTTTATGAATGGTCAACATYGAAATGTTTACATGTTTCTGCAGATGGCATCATTATCTGGTTGTATAGGCTGGCCTATAACAGGAGACAAGACCATCGAGTTTGCAAAGAATCCAAATGAATTTGTACAAAGTAGAATAGACACATTTGGTTGTAGAATCTTTCAGACAAGAGTTTTGAATAGGGCACATGTGTTTGTGGCATCTAGCAGAGGTGTCAAGGAAATTTTGCAAGGTATGAAATGCACTATTTATAACTAATAATTTTTTGATATTCTGGCTGAATGATCATGCAAAAAGGCTTTGAAGATGGGCACCAGGAAACAAAATAATTTTCTATTGTTTCTCCTGAACCTTGTTTCAATTCTTTTGTGTGTGGTTATTCAACAGAATGATTGAATGTGGGCTATGGTCAATGAGTTTGTTGCCTCCAGAATATTTTAAAAGGCAAAAGTGATGCCATAAAGTATGATAGGTAGATAATTTTCAGGCCTCTGTATATCCTAATGTGGTCAGCTATAAGTAACAGTTATTATTTTTAGATAGTTGTTCTGATTACCTTACCCAGTTGTTTATCTGGTCTTATTACACTCTTTTTAATGAAGGTCTTTGGTAATAATTTTTGTCTCAACAGATCAAGCCCATGTTCTTGATATGGGTTATAAAGACTTTGGCTACATGTACAGCCTGTATGGTGATCTTTTGATCTTTAATAGTGACGATGAAGCTATAAGATTAMGGAAGATACTCTGCTCTACCCTCAGATCTGATAACATGGCCAGACATTTAGCAGAAGTAGATGTTATTTGTTCTAGAGTTTTAGAAGGGCTTGAATTGAATGGACCAATACCGCTATACAAACAACTGAAGTTACTCACCACACAAATCTGCCTTACTCTTTTTCTTGGACTGGATTTTGAWGCAGCAAGTCATGAAGCTGAAGATATCATTGACTTGACTATTGCTCACTGGCATGGTAGGTATAGCCTAGTTTCCATATAATCATTGCAATCACTAGGATCACCACAATCGCTGAAATTATGTGGCTCAATGATCATAGCGATTATATGGAAACACTCTCCAGCAATCCTGGCAATCTAGCTACCTCAATCTCCAAGATAGAATTTGAGCAATTCCAGCATTTGAGATTGCATTTGAGATTTCCACCATCAATGAAGAGTGTTTCCATATGATCGCTACGACCGTTGAGCCACATTTTCAGCGATTGTGGCAATCCTAGTTATTGAAAATATATGGAAACTAGGCTTATAGAAATTTACAGCTTTTAATTATTTACTTATTATTTTTTTGTAATTTATTTATTATGCAAAAATGGACAGTGCTCAGCTGCATTTTAATATTTTGTTTGTTTGTTGTTGTTCCTTTTGTTTTTGCTTGCTTACTTGTTGAAGATGAAAAAAAAATGATATGCTAATGAGCCATTTTTGCATAGGGTCAACGAGCATTTTTGTGGTTTTACTAATGATTTTGTTTTCACACCATTTCTTATTTTGTTTTTATCTTTAAGTGTGGATGAACTTGGTGCATAAATTAAATAGGTTCTTTAATACACACAGTTTTGATTCTTTCATTCGTTTCTCTTGAAGGTCTTATATCAGTTCCACTAAGCATTAGTGTTTATGGCCACAAGTCAGGGTACAGTAAAGCTATGGCTGCTAAGGTGAGCTATAAATGATTTGATTATTTTCATAATTGCTGGTATTATCTTCAATTTTTTATCAATAAAAACATGAACTAGATTTTATGAATTCTCTCATTCAATTATCTTTCTATTGTCCCTACTATAAGAAATCTCTTCTCCTAGTAAGGAAATTATCCCTGCTTGCGTGTAATGTCAAAAATGGTAATTAAACTAACAAAAGACTTTGGCTCTCTAGGGATCATGATCATTGTTTTATTATCCTTATAAAACTTATTAATAATGCATAAGCTATTGCTCCAATAAGGGCTGACCATTTAATCAGGTGATTGAACTTGTAAATCTGATACAACCACTAGTGGTTGTATCAGATTTACAACACGGTCGTCACCATTGAGACAACCCAACACTAGCAAAGGTCTCAGTTTTAGTGTTGCATCATAGACCTTCACTAGGTTTTGAAGCAATCAAAGACGGATAACAGAACTCGCTTATGCAACATATGGCTTGCTTTCCATGTGGGATGGATAATTATTCAAAATGTTCTGTGTTGCAGTAAATTGCGCATGCTTAATAGGGACTAAACTCAGCAGTTACCTTATTTGTCATTTTTCGTCATTTATCTCACTGTAATTCATGTTAATTTGTGTTGGAGTTTTATAAGTCGTTTACAACATTCGCGTCCGTGTTGTATGGGAATTACAATCTCTCGCCTGCGGCTCGAGATTGTAATTCCCATACAACACGGCCGCTCATGTTGTAAACTATACNAACCTCTTCTCCCTACTGTAAGAAACCTCTTCTCCCTACTGTAAGAAACCTCTTCTCCCTACTGTAAGAAACCTCTTCTCCCTACTGTAAGAAACCTCTTCTCCCTACTGTAAGAAACCTCTTCTCCCTACTGTAAGAAACCTCTTCTCCCTACTGTAAGAAACCTCTTCTCCCTACTGTAAGAAACCTCTTCTCCCTACTGTAAGAAACCTCTTCTCCCTACTGTAAGAAACCTCTTCTCCTAGTAAGGAAATCATCCCTGCTTGCGTGTTATAAAGTCAAAAATGGTATTTTAAACTAACAAAAGACTTTGGCTCTCTAGGGATCATGATCATTGTTTTATTATCCAAATGAAACTGAATTCCCCACTAAAGAGACTATTAAATTATAGCAGTTTTTCAAGCAAATAGTGCATTTGAATGAAGGTGTTCATTTGATTGTTTTAGAAACGACTAGAAGAAATCATTAGAAAACAACTGGAAACTGGTCCATTTTCAAAAGGGTAAGCTCTTGTTACCGTAAGATCTACAAGTCCTCCTTTTATCATTTTTCCCCGAAAAGTAGTAGGCACTAGATTCTACATAGAGAGAGGTTACAAGAAGCATATCATAATAATATGATTGTTTGATTGTAGTTCAGTCTTTCAGCTGTTAAAAGATGCAGAATTTCAATCAACGACAGAACTAGCCAATCACCTTCTGCTGTTTGCATCAGCTTTAGTTCCTAAAGCTCTGGCTTCCCTTCTGGTGTCATTTTGTATGGAGATGTCCAAACAACAGAATGTGAGTTATTTTATTTTAYCTATTATTGATTATTTGAAAGTTTTGTAATTTTCACTTTCAAATTACCCATAATGCCTTCTGTTTTTGGGGGGTAATTGTGATTCACATCAAACATATTGTAATTCAAATGAAATATTTTTTTGGAATCTGACAATTGTTAACGCCCTGAAATAGAAGGTATTTTTGATGTGTGAAAGAAAGAATAGATAAGCACCTAATATTGTCGTTAACATTCTGACTAATAAAAATAAGTTGATGTTAGAATTAAATAAAAAAATCAGGAAATTTCATAAATTAAAATGATTATAGACAATTGAGCTGTGGGAAAAACTGTCTCAGAACCCAGTCCCCCGCTGCCATGCGGGAGCTTTTTAATCTTTAAAAAAAAAAATAATTTACACAATATCTATATTGTTAATTCCAATGTTAGATTGAGAAACTTTGCAAAGCAGCAGAAGACGATAGTTACCTGGATGATGTCTTACTTGAAGTGAAGCGATTGTGGCCGCCTTTTCTTGGTGGAAGAAGAAAAGCTAAAAAAGTAAGTTTTAGTTTGTCTATYGTTTCTTTCTCGGTAATTCCTTTTGTTGATACTCGTGCATTCTTTTGTATACATCCATTTAACTTTTCTCTCTTTCTTTTCATTGTTTTCTTGCTGTTTACTTTTACATGTTTATTCTCCTTGTCTTTTGCTCTATTCATCTTTTCATCCTCTATTGGTCAATTCCGKTTTTTCCTTTTTTTATTTTTATTATTCTTTCCTCCAAACTTCATGTAATCATTCATGCATTCAACCTTCTACGGACTGTTCTGCGTGCTACAGAGCTATATGAGGAATCAATACTATCAGCGTTTATTACTGGTCGTTAAATTTGTTAGACTTATGTTGGCTTTGTACAATTGCTGTATACAACCAGTGCTCTATATCATTTACACATCCTTACTTTAGTTTGCCTGATGTTTTCTTCATTTCAGGATGTCATAATCGATGGACACAAAGTACCCGAGGGATATTACGTCGCGTACCTAACACGAGCTGCAAACTGTGACCCAAGTGTGTTTCCCGAGCCTTTTCAATTCAACCCAGAACGCTGGAAAACATGGTAATTTACATGCATTGTTTAACCACCAAATCAGGCACCGAAACAATGATACTCATTTAGAAATTTGCCTTTTGCCACTCCTAAACCTCTTAACTAACTGAGTATTCCAAATGCTGWCACTGAATGGCTTCGCAAGAAAGTATAGAAATTGTGCGGCGACTTGACAATGCTCAGCGCCTTTTTTCCAGGAATGCAATCTTTGTTATTGTATCTTTAATTCCTTGATTTCTATTCAATACAGTAATGAAGAACATAAAGATCTGGTTTGGACTTTTGGTTCTGGTCCAAGAATGTGTGTTGGGCATGACTTTATACAGAAAATAATTAAGGTAGGTTTGATTGACAACCTACTGCGACCAAATTTCGTAGAACAAAAGGTTGGGAAAAACAGTCCTCCTGGTATTAAGACGATGAGAGAGATGGATTTTTTTGTAAGTTTCTTTCTTTCTCGCTTTCTCCCTTTCTTTCTCTCTCCCTCTTCCTCTAACAATATGTGGTAGTACAAAGCATCCCCGTGTACGTTTAGTATATTACTAAAAAACGCAAACGGTTTTTTATTGTTATTTCAGTTGATCACCAAGTACCTACTCCAGCGTTATACATGGTCACTTCCATCAGGACAAGATCTTAGGTATAAATGGCTGCCAGTATCTCGACCAAAGGCTGACGTACAAGCCGTATTTCTTAGAAGACAAGATGCTGTTTAGTGTCATTCATTGGTGATGGTGTCATGTTGGATTGACGGCYATGCTGGTGTCATGAGAATATATTTTTTGTAAAGACGCCATAACGTCACTCCAGCAAATTAGGAACATTTCGTATCTTAACTCAGTGATGTGTAACGAAACTGATCACGGCACAGTCACGGAACTATATCCTAAAGCCATAAACATTTTTACTCTTGGTGCCCTAGCACGGCGSCCGGATTCRCGCACTAGCTCAAACATTGCAGTTTGCCTTGTGCGAAGGCGAAACTGAAAGTCCAGGAACGCCGGTACCCGAGTGCTAGAGTACCAGTACCAGTAGATCTAGACCTTGTATTCGGGCGATAAACGCGGTAATGGTGCCCGAGCCCAAGTGTGAACAAGGCCATATCAAAAAGCACTGTATACGAAAACGCCGTATCTCAGTTTAGCAAACTTATACTAGATCTGTTCTGGATTTTTAGTCAGCCTATTAAATGGGTTCTTAATATTTTAATTCCAGTAAATATAATAKGCCTGGATGTTCAGTATGAACGTTTTCAATTTGGAATGTTTTGATTCCGTAATATATTTAAGATAGTCTCCATATTAATCCCCTATTTAGTAAAGCCTGGTCATTGTTTCATTTAATTGAGATTATTAATTATCCAAGAACCTTTGTGATCGCTTCTATTGTTTTACAAACGATCTCTTTGTTGAAAAGTGCTTTCCGATTGCTTCAAAATAAAAAAGTTTCGTACGTGAGAAAATCGCTCAGAGGTTCTTCGATGCGGCCTATAAGCTGCCCAGAGGGCTTTCTTCAAGCACATTGGTTTATTTGCTCCCTCGATCAAAAGCACAGTATGGAATGTTGCGCTTTCAAATTAGTAGGTTGCGTACGTAGCCAGGCGTTGCTAGCCGCTCCTAGAGAGTTTTGGCCGGAAACCCTTCTGGGTTACCCTGCGAGCAGAGATTTTTCCACCCCCTTCTACGAAGAAAAGGAAGATACCGGGTGTTTTTCCTTTCTTCGTAGAAGGGGATGGAAAAATCCTCTGCTCGCAGGGTATTCTGGGTTGGCAAGAACAGGGARTGTGCGATCGTTAGTGTAATTTACTAGGAAAGTTACTTTGGGTGGCAATMTTTTGTCCGTGATAAGTCTATAYCASCTTTTCCATATGACATTTAGGTCTGCAAGGGAGTTGATTGGTTTGCCGGTGTTTTTTATTCAACAAATGAGTGAATAGCCATCAATATTCATTACCCACAATAACTARTGGTCGTGCATTCTTTAATCTCTCTGACAACCTTTTTGGAAATGAGCTTTCGAGTCCTTGTACTCGGCTCTCGAAAAGTTGATAAAGGTTAGCGTGCTCTACTTCAAACACGAAGAACATCGCATGAATGGCGATAAAGTGCGCGCGTTTACAACACCAAACAAACCAATACAAAGACAACAGTTATCAAAAGGGTTTTAATATAACCAGTCTTARAAACCATAACAAGACTTAATCCCCACAGTACAAAGTAACAATAAATATTTCTTTTTACAAGAAYGAATTGTTTTTATGGACATCTATAAGTTCTACAGCTATTATTTAAGAATTTGAATATGATGGATCGACAAACTTTAGCCACGAATAAATCACTATTAAATATTAGAATTTGAAAACATGAAAGCAACRCTTTATTCAAAACCCATGGACGAACATTTTCTGTTCGACGGCATCAAATACTACAAATACCAGAATRCCTTGAATGCCTTCTACAAAATGTTCAAAAAACCATGATAACAATGCGTAAAGCATTCTGGGAGTTGTAAAATGACGTAATCATATAGATGTCCTAAAAAGGTTCAATTGGCTTGTTGAYAGCCGTACATGATGGTTGACAAATTGCAATACAAAAGCGTCCAAACTTGAAATTACAATCAGRTATCAATTTTTAAGAAATATGACGGAATAAACGAAACCTGGTTTTAAAGTACATATCGTGAAAACGGCTGGATTTTCATATGAGCAAAGAAATTCTCAAYTATTCTTTTCTTTACAACGAGCATGACCTCAAAAGACCGCATACTAGGTTATTTGCACTGCAATATGAAAGCCATCGTTAAAAACTGCTAAGATAACATGACTGACGTCACTTTGTTTAAACTCAACTGRAGTCTGTGTARGTCGATCGSAAAATGTTTATTTCTACCAATTAAATTTGATTCAATTTAAAATTACTTTTCATACTTAGTACAAGCGCCTTATAAAGCATTGTAAAAACGAGCTGTTCTTTATGTCGCAAGTATGCATGGGTAATGTTGGATTTCAATTACTTCCGTTTTAAACTTTTGGTTATGGAACTACCATGAATATGATATTATAACTCAAAATATCATAATCTACTTTTTTCACTTTGCAGTTGAACTACTTTAGAATAAACTTTAAATTTCTTTACTACTTTCTCAATATTCTTTTGAAATATATATTATCTTTCTCACTCTTGTTTGAATAATTGTCAATGTGCAGCAAAGCTATTTTGTGCAGGAAAAGCATGATGGGAGTTTCAGTCCTCGCACTTTTTCATGTTTTTAGTTTTTGCTTTTTTCTCTGCAGAAATAAAAGTATAGTTGTGCCCTTTCTAAAAATTRAAAATATAAAATKAGCTTTTAGGGAGATTTTTTAAGACCTACGAAAAGTGSGAGGAGTCATCATCATGATTTACAGCACAAAATGGCGTCGCTGCACATTCCATGTTGTGTTCCACACTTCATACTATTTCCCATGTTTCTTTGCGATCATGTTCAGAAGATACAATCTTTACCGATTAACAGTACTCAACACCTATAGATCCATGTAATCGAGATTTGTAGTTGTTAAATATTCGAAATCTTTTGTATGAATAATTAAGTTGGAAAAATTATAACTATTAAATACATAAAAAACTTAATATTGTTTCAATCAATCAATGCTTCGATATCTTTGTACATATAACGGTATTCAAAATTGTGAAAGTTTTTTAACGAAAAATAATAATTTTGAACAAAAAAGTGTTTACGTTAATCTATACCGTATTATGACGCTACATACGAAAAAACGTAGGTTTTAGGAAGGCTTTTAAAGTTTAAGCCTCTCTTCTTTGATGTATTTCTGCTAAAATGTTACGAAGGTTTGAACCATGCACACAAACAGATGTTCAGTTGTTGTACTTACCAAAGGTTAATACTTATGTTTACGTTAATGCATAAGTCAGAGGACAGACTCGGCTTGCATTGTCTTGTTTATCATACGTTAACCGTCTTGTCCGTTAATAAGTGACAAAATGTAAAAATGCGTCAAGGTGCCAGAAAACCAAAGCAACGAAAAAAACTCTGAATGAACRAAATGACAGTTCAAATAACGTGCGAACRACTTACTAAATGGCGTTATTGACCCTATGACGTCATAGTCAGATGCATTTAAATACGTCAGCTAACAAGCTGCAAATCATTTATAAGAACATATTTCACGAAATTAGTTGGATATTTTATAAAAACTTCAAATTTCTACCAACTATTGTTTTTTWCATCCTGTTTCTTTACCAGTTTTAGTACAAAATCATCCCGTCCGTCCCCTCCCAACTCTGCTATCTTACAATCCTTAATCGTTCGTTCATTACCACTGTTCCTTGGAAGTTAGCYTAGATGGATGTTTCGTGTTGAATTAACGGTAAACCTGTTCGTATTTGGTCGAATCGTCTCAATTCCACATCACTGCTCCCCCCTGATCCATTCTGCGAGTTATCGGTAGTTCTTGGTAGATTCGTGGGGCTACGAACAGTGATCTCTTCTCGTCTGCCTCCAWTGATCCCAGGGACTGGAGAAGTGAATTCCACGGCGGAGTGTGAATGTGAATGAGAATTTTCGGCGGCTTCACGTTCTTCTCGTCTTTTAATGAAGTACCACGATATGAAGTAAAACAACGTCGATAAAACTAGAAAATAATTATTAGCAATTCTTAATTCTAATCATAATATAGTTATTTTAATTGAGAACGCTAAATAATTAAAAAAAAAAAAAAGCCTATAAAAACTGACAATACCTACATAACAGACAGAAAATTAATTATTTCCCTGATAGAACTTTTAGGTCTATTAGTATTCTCTAGTGTTTATCTAATCTTATTTCTTCCAAAGAATCCCCGACGGCGCATAACGATAATTTCGCCAAGAAACTTTGTCCTCCGTAATTCTTATAAGAACTCCGCCATCTTGATATTTTCATCAATACCATGATGCAATTCGCCGAAATAAACATGACGTCATAAGGCGAGAAAGGATAACTTGGTATCATAGTTAATAGAGAGGACTATTAACTATGTTGTAATAGAGAGGACTATTAACTATGTTGGTACTTACCATGAAAGAAGAGTCCACAAGCAACAAGTAAGAAACTTAGCAACTCATTATCGTACTCTAAACAGCTTCCCTTTCTACCACACGATTGCTCCCATAGAATACAAGTCTTGTCAATAAAAGTGCCAAAGAGAACAGGGCCTGGCACCGACCCAAAAATACTCAAGAAAAGCCACTGTAGTCCMAGCGCATAGGTCCGCTGATTGTCAGGTACGCATCTGTAAAGCAAAAAAAAGGTTAAAACTACCACATGCGAYATCCCATTCTAAMTCTTAGCGTAGTCAATTMARGTAACTACTGAATTACTTTTAAAAGCAAGACCAAAAACGGCTACACAGCTATTCTTGACTACTGAGTCTAAATTCGCAAATCAAATATTCATATAGTTTACCTGAGCACCACAGTTTTGTTAGGAGTGGCGTTCATAAAGTTAGCCACTAAAAGAACCAAAGCTCCAAACAGAAAAGGGATCAAGTTTTTACAGTCTCTATCACATACTCCTTTCTTGGCAAAACCAAACTTCGACGAGTCTGAAGCTGGTGCRATACATAAACATTGGTCAAATTCCTGTAAAGAAATCAAAAATCTTCCCTGTAAATACACATTATAAACACAGTTTTAATAAAACCAGCACACAATATCCGGTTCGGTAAATAATCGTTTATTTTTATATTGGTAATGGTTAGTCAAAAATTTTGCTCTTTCAATAATTACCAACATTGCYCTTTCGGTTTATAACTACAGCCCTCTCGATTGAACTTTACTTTGAAGAGAGGGAAGGGGCTGTTCTCTATGATTGACAGAGSAGAAAAGCCCAAATAGAAACGATTCAATTTCCGATTTCGCTAGAAACATTTGCTAAATTGTAATGAAATAATATGGTTAAAAACAAATTGTGTTATCTTGCAGTGACTGAATTAACTACTACTATTTACAATAATTTATTAATAATATTTTGCGATTGACAATGAGCCATGAATTATTTACCTTTATTCCGATTCTCTTTTGACATCCTGCATAGCACGGAGAGAAATACGTTGTCTTATCCACTCCACAAACAGGGAAATAAGTAGACGAGGAACAATGGCATCTGCTATTRCACCATGATGTCATGTTGTTCATCTGGCTTGAACTAAAAAAAATGAAATGTCTTAAAACATACATTAAGTTTTCAATTCCTTTTTTTGTCTGTTTAGTGCGTCTAAGACATTAAAGAAGTTTTTTATTTATTTTGTTGTTACATCTGAGCTATCTATATTAAAGCATAAATTTTTCAAGGATTTGACTAATAATAAAGGAGTAAGCAATAAAACTTACAAATTTCCAGGGTATGCTTTATTGATTCCAGCAATCAAACTAGTCTTGCATCCAGGAATAAGGAACGTCAACACTCCCCACGTACCAATGAATTGAAATATAATGCAGTACTTGGCAGCCTCGCGGCAAGAACGTCGCAGGTCAATACGYTTCACCAAATAACTTCCCAGAAAGATACCGCCCGCAGTACCTGGGATTATKATTATACCAGTTAAAATACCTGGAAAAGATAAAATAATGTCAGTTTTTCGTTGCTTTGATGATGGATACTTTTGTCCTAAATACTGGCTTGTTTAGTGTGGCTGTGATTTTTTCTGTAATGTGACTTTTTCTAGAAAATTATATCTCCGCCGTCGAACTACAGCACGTGGCAACAGATGCGACCATCTAAAGACAAGTTTGTCTTTATTTATCCTTATGCATGTCCTATATCTGACTTCAAGAACGCACTGACTTCTCTTTCTTTTACTGTTTCCTAATTCATCAATGTGATTCCCTAGCATCTTGTTCAGATAGGCTCCTCGATGCACTCATGACATTTCATGAACGCCCCTAAGCACGTTAAGTTCTCTATGCATTCAATAGAAAATCACACGAACTAGCTACATTGTCACGCAGTACACACCAGCTGTTGATGATGATTCTCCAAACTGTGACTGAATAAACTTCGATATGAACGGTCCCAGCCCGGTCGCTATCAAAGCCGTCGCACAGAGAGCCAACGTATTGGCAATAAATGTCAAATTGGTGAGTAACGCCTTGGTGGCAGGAATCAGATCAGACATTCGACCACTAATGTTGTCATCACGAGGTGGCAGAAGACCTTCTTTTATAGCTCGTGCCCTGAGAACAAACAGAAAATAGTCAGTGCATTGAAAGGTTGGTCCCACGACACCTGCACCAGGATAGCGCAGAAATCTTGAAGTGTTGGTGATATACATTACATACATTACATATACTATATATGATATACGTTGATGATATACATTGATGAACCAATCATCAAAAAGAAAAAAAAACTATAAAAAGGCATACCTTAGCTCCTTTGCACCAGGCATTTCCCGTGGGTACCCCAGTAAGGCAATAGCTGACAGAAGTAGAAGCAGACCTCCAAAGAAATAGCCCAGCCACCATGCCCCGATCCAGCGGGGATCTTCTGGTGTCATATCTAGTCCTGGAGGCTGTAGGGAAGAAATACTTCATTCTATATTTCATTTATCGAYTTCGTACGTCCTCTGGGTCGAAAAGCCACAGAATAAGGCATGGTTTTTTAAAGTGGGATGTCTTASYCTTACCCTGGGAACWGCATCKAGCCCTCCCTCTTAGAATACCTGACCCAAAAAAAMCATATGAAGAATAGAATTAACGCCTTCTAACTTGCTTGCTCAGTCCTCTACCAAMTGCCCTCCAAGAAAAAGTCATTAAAAGACATCTACTTCTACAGAAGATATTAATTACATGGACGCGCGAAGATACGGATTTTATCTTAATTCGAGTGACGAAAAGATCTCTCACGAGTGAGCGTAGATAAAATCCGTATCTCCAAGCGACCGTGCAATATTCTGTTTATCATATACTTATATATGAAAGCAAATTATGTTTTAAAATTACTTTTATTTACCTCCAACATATAGAGATACCTCGAATGTGTTATTTTTACTAGTGAAAATAACAACTTTAYGTAATGGAGAAATATAGGTATTTTATAGATAATTATACGATAAAAGTATTTCTTGCATGCTGGCATACCTGAATCAAATCAACCCAAATATTCAATAGGGATCCACCAGCMACGTACCCAATACCGGGACCAAAGAAAGTGGCTATAAACCACGTACCGAGATACATAGGAGCAGATTTAGGATCTACATTCTCATCAATATACGCCGGCCCTAGTGTGAATAAGGGCGTAGTCCCTGCCCCTAGGAGCARCTTAGCTCCTATAAATACAAATAAGTACTTCCAGTCGGAACTATGGAGCTCTTTACGGCAAAAATCTTTATTGTCGAGAACGGACGTCGAGTTTTTAAAAGAGCATAGATTAGCGCCTATACTTGTGGTTTCGAACTCTAGAGGAACGTATTTTTCTATGAGGACGTGAGGTAAGGCGAATAGCAAGGCTCCCAAGCTTGTGACAAGAGCACCGAAACCAAGCCACCGTGCCTTGTGGCTATGTCCCCCGTAATAGCTGATGAAGATGATTAGAAACAATGATGAAACGTCATTGGCTGCAACAATCATTCCTGTTTGTTTGCTGCTAAGTTTAAAGCGTTTTTCTAGAGCGGTGAGGCCTGCAGCTGTAAAGCCATTGGCTGTCATGCCTGGTGAAGAAAGTGAAGATAGGTTACAACGAATCATAACAAAGAACAAAATCAGCCAGTTATTGTTACAACAGTGAATGTACTCAATACGTGAAACAGATACTACACTAATTACAGCTGAATAGTGTCGAAAGAAAGGAATTATAATAACATACAATGACATAATGTGTTATCGCCTGGTTAACGATGTACATTCTCTCAAAGATCTCATTTCTTMACAAAAATGATGTCATTGCTCCCCCCCTTCCCTGATACAATGTTGGTAGTCCTCAATGAAAAAGATMGCAGGTCATCACTTAACAATACACAACAATRAATCGGGGGGAAGAAGGTTAAATAGGAGAAGAGAGAWGAGCAAAACTCCAGTTTCGAATTCTTCAATGCTTTGTGTTAGCCTYATTTGTGTGCAAAATATTCCTAAGTTTGAGAGTAAAAGAATGAGATTTCAAATCAATTTTATTTCTTCTCAAATTCTATGTGTTTTCTCGGTCTATCAAGGAAACAAAAGAATATGCTGCTTGGTTTTGAGGCCGTAACACGCACAGCAAACCACAACTCGAAATTACAGTGTTTCGGTTCATTCACGACAACAGTTTTGTCCACGATTGCAGCTCCCATTTTCCACTTTTGTGCTTCATGGATTGAGGGTCTTATTAAATAGATCAACACATACCTTGCATGAATGAATAAATAGTAAGAAAAACAAGAAACCATTTTGGAGTGTTGAGTTTTTGTAGAAACTTCGGTTTGATTCGCCTCCATCCACAGGAAAGTTGCTGTTCGTCTTCCTTTAGTTCAGTGTCCTCAAACTCCATGGCGTCATCCATGTCAGCCTAGGCAGAGATTGGCCTCTCGTTAAACCATTCCTCGAAGCCCTGATAATTAAAAAACTTTGAGATTAGATAAAGAAAACTGCGTGAGTTATGTGGATGATAGATTTTCTCTATAAATTGTCTGCCAAAAGATTTTAATAAATTGGTTAAAAATAATCATCGCTCGCAGAAACTCATAAGTTTTTATAATCGTTAAAAATGACTTTCATTGATTGTTTTCGAAATGTAGTTATTTTTTGATGATTGCCGATTTAGCATAATTTTAGCCTGAAATAAAAAGCTTACTTTTTTAGTTGTAGGACGTACTCGATGTCAAGCGATGATTTTTCTGTTTCATTGAATTGAGTTCAATATATCAATATCCTCTATATCAGTGTACTCTCACATGCTTAAAAACTTTAGAAAATTTTATCAAACAAATTTGAATTTCAAGAGAAATTTGCATGGTTCACTCTCTGCCCGCCAGGTGCAAATCAACACAAGCGCCTGGGTGATCAAAAGAAAATAATAATATGGACGTTTTAATTTAAAAATGGCAGATTATCGGTATTTTTTCAGTATATCATGGAATCTAAGACCGACGGAGAAAGTGGGAAAACAAATTATGGTGTTAGAAGTGTTCGGACACTGGAACACTTTGTAGGACTACTACCTGTATATCGAATATTAGCCATATTATTTGCCTTCCCATGCTCCCTTTCGGTCATGGATTCGTTGATAAAACCTGTTCGAAGAAACCTCGCTAAAGTGAATGTTGAACTAAATTGTATAACTATATATGCCGGCATTAGTGAGTCCAGGACTTTTTTCAAGTTAAAGTGTCCTAAATAGTSAACATTCGATATTTCTGACTCTCGTCAACAACAATCTTAATTCGAAATGAGATGAGAGATAAGTTAATCTCTCAACTCATTTCATATACACTCAAGGTATAGCAACACCTGCATTTTCAATCTGTATTCGGCAAACTTGTTTGTGAACGAAAACTCATGGATTATCAGATGATATCAATGATATTGCTATCGCTGAAGCCTACTTTCGATAGTCTGGTTGAATGATCATAAACAGAACTGCCGAAGACGCTTTGGAAAAAAAACCAATCATCTACTTTCCCCTAAGCCTCGCCTTCGATTCTTTTGTCCGTGGTTAGTTATCCGACATTTCGAAAGTAGAGAGTTCAATCCGCTCGCATTACTTCACACAGGAAGTCCAAAACAGTTTTAAGTTTTAATTGCGACTTTTCAAATAAAAATAGAAACGAAAGAGCCGTACACCTGACAATTCTTTTCGCGAACACAGCTTCAATTTTCGAGCTGTCAAAGATAATATAAAAACGAAACAGCCATATAGCTGCAATTCTTGTCGTGAAACGCTTCAATTTTCTACCTTTCATATTTAATAAATAATGAAAAWTCTTGATGTAACAAAACGTTCCAAAGCCCGAGTTTTAAAACAAAATGCGCAAAATAGAGGAACTTTGTATATTCATATTTGAACCAAAACACCCTGACAATGTTTGAGCAAAGGGTCGTGCGATAAAAGGTAGACGAGATTAATATCTGTTTGTGTATTTTAAAACAGGACCAAAAGCAAAAGTTGTGTAAAAAGATAAATTTAACACGGCGTAAAAAAGTAGGTGAAATAACTTACTGACGTTTCGGACGTTAATCCTTCGTCGGAGTAAAGAGATGGAACTAGGTAAAGTGAACGTCCGAAACATCAGTAAGTTATTTCACCTACGTTTTTACGGTGTCAAATCCCGGGGGGGTACTCGACCCCGTTTTGGATAGGTACATGCCGCTAGCGGTCTAAATCCCTGACCCTGTTTAATACACTAAAAAGTAAAAATCCATACCCTGTTCAAGACAAATCGGAAAAATAAAGAATATCTATCTACGCCGCAACCATCAAAACTGCAATTTATTTAATTTTTTAATTATACTGACATCCATCAAAGACAATAAGATAAGAAGTTTTTGATAACACGTTAATCCTGGGACAGTGAAACGGTATTCCTACTATTTCTACGGTGTACTTTTATGAAAATATTACCCTGTCCAAGACACAAAAAAAATATATCGGTCTTTTATCTAAATTGTAGGGCCTGTTTAAGACAATTTCGGGTGAAATGCATACCCTGTTTAAGACAGCAAGGCCAAAAACCATACCCTCGTGTAAAATTTACCTTTTTACACAACTGTTTCTTTAGAAACACCGACGCAGCTCACACTAGTTTACCGGCTAGTTCCCACCAAAAGCAAAAGAAAGAATGGAAATATACCAAATAACAAAAGAAAGGCTAATCAATTGATAAGAGTATACCGAAACCATTGAAATGTGMTATTGACGTCAAATAAAGCACCTCATTCAAATAATGTACTATGTTCGAAATATATAATAAACAATCTTTAAAAACTTGCGCACTCTGAAGTAGTTCTGCTAATCCCATGTAAAAATACTAACTTTACGTTAAACTAACCAAAATATATCAACACGAATGCAATACAACATTGACAGTTTTCTAAGCTTGCTCGAGTAATGATTTCACTGAAAACCAGAAAGTCACAATTCCGCTGATTAAAATATTTGCATTAAAACATAGTTTGAACTTTGATAAAATAGAAAGCTTCTGTAGTACTTACCATACTTATTCAGAAGGGATGTGTTTCAAGAGTTTGAAATTGAACTGATCATGAAATGAGCAAATACGGATGTGCATCGCTGACGTTGTCGATCTATGACGTCACCAATGCAATTAAGAGAGGAGGAAGTCGAAATGCGCGCGCTAATTTTAGATTGCTTAGAGATTTTTTTTTTTTTTTTCAAATAAATGGATTCTTTTGAATCCCCGAGAATGGATCAGGAATATTAAGATTTTTATAGGTTGTTTTAACATTCTACAGTTAGTAGTCGATCAAAGTAATTAAACATTTAACACAAATTTGGTAAACAGTCACATAACCAAAGAAAATAACAATCATAGTTCTTTGATTAATGTCTATTCGCTATAGCTGCATGTTAGAGTGAGTTTCATTAACCTGTAAGATATACTTTGGCCGTACGGCTCCAACTCATTACTCTTTATTTTGCACGTTTCTTATTTTATTACACTCTGTTTCAGGGTTAATGAAAAGCACTCTTTGAAAAGTTTCAGACGCTGGTTTTATACTGTTTACAAGCTTAATATAATACGGATCTTTCTGGAGGAAATCAGCCAACTGCAACGCCCATAGGTGTGAAATTGAAAGGACCTCTTTGTACTGTTTTGCGCAATTTAGGAAATGGTGTTCAGGAAAAACAATGGTGATTCAAAGGATGTACCGCTTCAATAGCAAATTTAGTGCAAATTTATACTAATTTTAATTTTGTTCGATTTCACTGTCGAATGAACATGTTCACTCTATATATCATTCAATCAATCGCCATRACAACGTTTTGAGAGCAAACTATTAATTTTCAAATATATAAGCAAGGAAATGAAATTACTTTGCCAAAAATTAAATACACTAACAGCTTTAGGTTAAAATAAATGAAAATTTAGAAGCCGTTTACACAACCGCATACTATGTAATTATCAGAGAAGGGTAAACTAAGCTAAAATGAAATGCGAAAACTAAACAAAAACCTAACACTATAAGGTAAACATGGGAAACGACTAGACTCTGCCTATAATCCCAATTCCCTTTCATGCATTTGTTTTGGTAATGAAAAATACAGAATCCAGCTTAATAATAATGACCATTTATATTGCTTCCCATCAYATTTTGTTCATTTCGGAATAACTGTTTTAACAGTTAATGTTTAATATTTCAAAATAGCGCAACGCTTGCTTCCCGCTTTCTTGAAACTCCCACCTCGAATACATTTMCAGTAGAATTGCGCTATTTTTATAAATAAATCTATAAATAGTTCATATTAAGATCAAATCTTTAAAACTGAAAGGATTCCACTTGAAACAATTGAAATCAAACAGTTGACTGCAAAAAAACATTTAGTATTCAAAAACTGGACTTTCGTAAAAAGGAATTTGTAAAAAAAAAGATAAACGAATATAAATCAGGCATAACTCTTTCTTTCGCATTTTACGTTGTGTATTCCCTTTACAAAAGTACAAAAGTTTAATTGTTTTTTTAGGACAACGTTTTTGCAGTGGTTAGGTATGCATGTAAGTAACAATGGCTTACAGYTCAGTAGCTGCCAATCCGACCAAATCTTTTTCGAAACTGTTTTTTCAGCCAGAAACCAAGAATGCTCTTTTTTCGTCGAAATTCCAATAAGCTCAGTTTTAAGCTGCGATTTAGTACGAACTTCGTCGGCCTTTCGAATGGCTCAGGTGAATCTCGCGTGCGCGTGCGAAATATCGACGGCTGAAAGCTTTCATGCATACATGCTTCGTTCACAAAGAGTTAAATAGTTGTAGAGCAAACGTACCACTAGCCCAGGGTTCAGCAGTCTGGATTTTGATCAAACTTCGTCGCACCTTGTAATAGCCTGGTTTTCCTTTTTTGTGTGTGTGTGTGTTCGTAATTAGTAAACCAAAAATTCAAAAGTAGACTTCTGGAATTCTTTGTGAGAATTTTTAAATTTTTAAAAATAATTTTTTGGATTGCATGTCAGGTATATTTATTTTTATTCTGGTCGACCAAATCTATAATTTCTGACATTGATGAGACGTGCATAATTAGAGAAAGCATTGAAATTATTCAAATTGTATATGAAACAGCGTGCAGTGAGATCACAATGTCTCAGTAAATTCATGCAAAACAGCATACAAAATGCTAACTTGCTTTAATAGGTACCTCCTAGATGCAAAATGCAACAAAACAACCTGCACTTTAAAATCGATATGAATCGAGCTATTCACTAAAATATAGAATCTCGGTGGATTACAACCAAATAAGGTTGACCTTTAGAAAAAAAAATTCAAAATGGATGAGTAAACATGAATTCATACATACAGCACGGAATCAGACTTTCGACAGTTTGCATAGTGTGAATAAACTATTTAAAAAAATCTCTCAAGACTCATGCCTTGATGAAAGTAATGGTTTYGAAAGTGCAATATGTGTCAGTATCCAGCACATCATTTTGAGAGATGGTTTCATAATGAATAATTGATCCCTAAGAATAAATCGTGTCGTCTGACAAAGAATAAACCTTGGTTTGAACCCATATACAAGGAACTAATTACACAACATTTGCACAATGGTATAATATTGTCAGTAATTTTGCACTATAGGAAAGTTTGAAAGCTTTTTTTGTTGGGCGACAAGTGAGGAGAATTGACAGTCACTAGGATAAGTTTTAACTCATCTGGAGATCGAAGCGAAATTATGTTATAAATATGGTTATCGGCATAAAAACAAACATAAAAGATAAATGCAAAAAAGTGTTGTTTCGTCATAGATTTACTCTAAACTACGAGAAAAAGTACTAATATCTAAGATGTACTGTAACTAACAATACGAGTTTTAAAGTAAACCAAAACAATTTACCTGTGTCATTCAAGTAAAAGCTGTAATATGCCAAAGTTCTTTCATTTCCGCGTCAAAGCTGAGTTCATTACGTGACTAACGAACTTCAAAAATGTAATAGAATTGTTCTTGGAGTGACACCAAGGAGATATTTTCTCCAAGTCAAAATTAAGAAGAGAATCCTGGCTCCGTCACTGGGTAGGCCAAATTCAAAATTATACTGGTAGGTAAATAATTAAACAGTTACAAACCAATGGGAAAACAGCGCCATCATGACAAAGCACTCAAATATACAATGAAATTCTCCAAACATAACGAGGGCAGAAGACAATACTTGAAAGCTACTCAACAAAAAAAAAAAGACAGAAAAGGTCTTTAAATACRTCACAAGAACGGTTCTCGGCGTTCCCTTTTYGTTACATAGCAATTCAGTCCCAAAGAGAGTCTTATCACTGAAACCGTATCTTGGCGATATCGTTGCAACCGATGTAAAACCCATTTATTTCATTATCTTTTTTCAAAAAATAATTCAGAAAAAATAAGAAATAATTATAATAATACGGCTCAACAGTTTTGATCATGATTTCCACCAATGTTAAACAATGATTATTTTTGTTCAAAATAGTTCGAGCCGCACGTTCTGGTTACATATATATCTGCGATTATCGACTGAGTTGTGAACTTTCCAAAATCAACAATTGACTTTGGATTCCCAGGTGGTTTTAAATGGTCGATTCCATTTAAAATACTTTCGGTGATTTGACATCTGACAGTAGATCTGCGCATGAAAGCCACCMACCGACCAATGAAAACGAAACTTACTGCAGATTCATAGTGTGATACACCAGCTACTTTCCCCGTAACAAATTATAATAAGTCCTCGACCTTTATTCCAGACATGAACTGGCTCGTTTTGATTGTACAAACAGCACTTCAAGCAATTCAGTACATAAACAATGTTCTATTCATTTCTGGCATCTTGTTGCCAGGGTTTCGAATTCTGTATCACAAAATTTCATTTTTACATATTAAAATATTTCAAATATAATATGACAAAAAYTCACTGGTGCATAATGATAATAATTCCAAAAAAATGAATTTGAATATTTGTTTAATTTTATGAGCGACATTTTGCATGGCATAATCAGGATCAAATTCGCTAAACTAGTACGGAAATAGCGACGGAAATATATGAAAACTAGAGCTACAGTACAGAAAACGTACTTTTGAAAAAATAAAATAAAGAAGAAATATTAATAAAAAGTTAAAAGGACTGATAAAAAATTCGGATACGTAATTACACCATGTAGCAGTTGTTTTTCTCACAACACTATCACGACCATGCAATCCCAACATTCATCAGCAAAGATAACTATGGAATACGGTAGAATAATTATYGGAGGCGGTGACCAWATTTTTGTTTGCGACAAATGAGAAAAGTTCTAGTATATTCAGTCAATTTATTTCTAATGACCCAATTAGCTAATATTCATTGATTAATTACCATTTTGGTAATTGATTTTTACTATTTTCAAACACAACCTTTTTGAATTTACGAATAAATTCAGTTTCATATAAAACAGTGACTAATTTATGTCAGATGGTAAGAAGATGGGTGAAGCTAYAATAATTCACGGAGACTCTGATTTTGTCCCACAAAAAAACTGAATTTAAAACACGTGAAATGTGCGAATCTCGCTCCGTATCTCGTCGATCTTCCATGGAAAGTAATTAGACGAATCAATTGAGACAGGAAAATCGTCACCACCGGTTTAGGTATTCGGACGATCTTTCCGTCATTTGAAGAGTTCCGGCTCTCTTTACCATCTAAGAATATATAAATTACATGCAAGTTACACAAATTAAAAAAAGGAGTATCTTGATAAGCAGATTGCAACATGAAATTATAACAAGGAATTAAATGATGGATGACGCAAGCTTGTGGTAAAAACTGTCATTTWAAAAAATCACATTTCTGATAACTACTCTCCCCAATTTCTACGGCGCCAAGGAGTAAAATTGGCTATTATCGACACCGTAGCCTGCTTATATAGATGCATACAGGCTATCGAAACCTCTAGTATTTAATGGCGCATTTTAATTGCCCACTTCAAAGATAAAAAGAGTTCTTTTCAGAACGTTGGAAAGTCGAGAGAGTGAAACCTTTTGAGAATGAGTGTTGAGATGAAAGCTGTCCGTTAATCGGCTAAAAAAAAACGGTCCAGAAAGAAAAACCAAAATTGAAATGGTTTCCCCAGAAATGTCAAGAATTCCTAAWGCTGAGATAAAATATGATGACTAAGGATACATTCTGGATAGAAACTGGATAAAACAGGCTTTGTAAATATTTTAGTTTTTAGTTTCATTAGCACTAAAGGTGGACAGCAATCATATGACCAATGACATGTATATGTCTCAACCTATGCCTAGAATATTACACTGACATAAAAAATCATCTAACTTTTAATACATTCTTGACGACTTCCCTTTGATCTGAATAAAAGTGTGGATTGAAAGTGGAGGAAAAGGAGACATTTCTGTTTTCGTGCAAGGACGATTTCAAACGGTCCAATGCCAGCTGCATAATAATTATTTATTCCAGTGTTCAACTAGCGCTCATTTAATTGAGAAAGAACACTTTTCGATGATATCTCACATAATTTTCTAATTGAAAATTGTAATTAACCACAGGAAAAACGATAAGTACTAGAAAATTATAGGCACAAAATAAAGTACATGCACCAACAACTGGTATARCTTTCGATTACAAGCAAACCATATGGTAAATACACCAACAAGGAAAATAATAGCTACGCCACATTGCCTTACATCATGTAACGGAATATCTAAAGAAGGACTTATTGTCTTATGAGAGCAATAACATTGCTTTSCTTTTCTGTGAATGGTTAGCTCATTCGGTAGAACAGAATCAAATAAAATCTGTCCAAATACAGATGATAGCCACTGCGGGACGTCATTCGCTCACGATGTTCAAAACTTGAAAGTGTCTTAATTYAAATATACCCAAATTTGCCTATCGAGGAAAACTAAGGATAATATTCAATRTTATTAGGACTTTTATTCATAATGSCACAAAGATTATAGACCCAACATCCGCTATAAAATCAACATTTAATGGCCAAGGCCGATTGTCAAGGGAAAAATTCATTTATTTAAAATTTCACCTACCTTTCGGTGCTCCATTCTTAAAATCCAGAATKCCAAACTATCGAAGAAACAATAACGAAGGGAAGCAGCAGTGGGGGAAGAGGTACACGGTCAATAAAGGACAAAAAGGACAAAATGCAGGATAAAGTTTACCGGCCTTCTCAGAATCAGCTCCTTTSGATGTGAAAACAAACGCCAGCGAGCAGTGGTCAGTGGTATTTACCTGAAGCCGGAAAAAAATTACAGCTGTTTTTTCAGTTACTTTTTACCATCTAAGAAAAAGAAAAATGTAAAGTTCTAAATTAAAAAGCAAAATTAGCTATTTGTGGTTRTACTTTTATTATATTTATCAATTTTCCGTGCAATAACAAAGGTGTTGCAACGTGACAGGGAATACGTGACTTATTACTCGTACCAATCTTCGCCCGAGCGATCAACGCCATTTTGGATTGAGCATATATCTTCTACAACTTCTAACGAGAAAACGGGAAAAATTTCTTATATTACACCTCCATGACAGACATTAAAGCTCTTGAATATCCGACCTTAAAGGTGAGATACATTTTTCTTCTCATTTTCTTTCTAGATTTTACTGTTAAAAGGCAATTTTCTGTGAATATAAAATTTGTAAACAAGGATGCCGCCATCTTGAAATTATTCTGGAAAAAAAATATTTCGAAGRTTTCCATATAGTATTTCTCGATGATTCACCGTCATAGATTTAGCTTCTARGATTTGGTTGTTACTATTAATTTGCAAAGTCTTCACATGTGATTTTRTTATTTCAGGTGCCGTATGAAATCTTAAATAAAAAATTTCGCAGCGCCCAAAAAGCTATCGACAGAGAAGTATCTTACGTGGTAAACGCAACGAACGAGTTGACCACAACTCTTAATAAACAACCTGTGAAGGCTAAAGAAGTTGCTGGTATGTTAGATGGAGTCGTGCAGAAAATACAAGCACTTAAAAGAAAGGTTAGTGCTATGAAAACACATCATCCAACACTCATGTAAGTGAATGTTTGTGATTCACATGGGAAAAAGTCTTGCAAAATGAGTGTACATGCACTGTATGAAAAGTTTGATCTTCATTCAATAAAGTATCATTAAGATTCAAGCTATAATATTATTAGTTACAATTCATCTTTATTTAAAAGAACTTTAATCAACTCCTGGACTTTTGAATTAGTCGAAATGTTAATAAGCAAGTTCTGTTTATTTTTGAAGACTGAAGTTCATGTTTTAATGCGTTTCAATAGTCTGAAGAATGTCTAAACCAAGAGGAAGCCTGTGTTAAGCATTGTAAAGCAAGACTTGACCACATAAAGGAACACGCAGATGAAAGAAAAAGTTCTGTTCTTGTTTGGAAGAAGAAAAGGCTTGATAGGATGCTTGTTGACCATTGTTTGAGGCAAGGCTTTTATGAGACAGCCAGGAAACTTTCAGTGGATGCTGATATTCAGGTTTGATAATAATTATTAAAATAAAGTAAAGTAGYTCAAAGCAAACAAAAATGGCTCCTCTTTCATTATCTGTCAATCAGAATTGTAGGGGCMGGCACTGGCTCTTACCCTATCCTTTACCCCCCCTGATACTGGTACCAATTTATACACCTGAGCAGGGAGAGGSACATTTACTGTTCAGAGAGTATAAAGTGTCCAGATGAAGTAGGCAATGTTATCACTTGGTCTGGTAGAATCAAACCAAGCCTTAACCACTAGACCATTAATTACACATACATTTCAGAATATTTGAATTACATCACATGTTTCTGTTATACTGTATGGAGTTTATTAGTTGTTGTTGTAGTACACATGTATGGCTGTACACAAATTAATGTATAAAAGATCTRTATATTTGATACTTTGCAGAGTCTTGTTGATATTGATCTATTYGTGACGTCAAGACAAGTAGAAGAAGCATTATTAAGAGGGGACTCATCCCCTTGTTTAAGTTGGTGTTATGAAAACAAGTCAAAACTACGGAAATTAAAGGTATAGGTCTCCAAGACTAAGGTCAAATGTCAAACTTACTGCTATAATTTGCTGAGCTTACATGCTTTCTGGAGGTAAAAACATGCCAAATGGTAATCAAGGTGAAAAAAAATAAGTATTTCTGAGAAAACATGGTATCTCATGGTATGTGTCTTATTAGATTGTATATTGCATATAAATGTAGTATAGCAGAAGTACAAAATTGCAACTCAGGTATAGCACTAATATGAATGGGCCTAAACTATTAATGTGTGCATGTTTTCTGAACATTACGTCTCATATAAAGGAAGCTTCAGCAAATATCCAAAGGACTAGTGTCTGTTAATGAAATGAGAACTCAGTAACTGTGATTAAAACAATATGACAGCAAAGAAATTCTAGTTTAATGATTGCTTTTTTTTTATAGAGTACCTTAGAATTTAATGTGCGCATGCAAGAGTTTATTGAGCTTGTTCGTAGAGATGAAAGAATCGAAGCAATCAAGTAAGTTACAACAGGATTTACCAAACAAAATAATAAATTAAATTTATCCAGTAAATGCGGTAGCAAAGAAGGAGTGAATTGTTTTGGTTGTGTGTTGGTCCAGAAAGTTGTCAGAGGTTGTCCMGTATGAAGAAATGTATCATTACTGTTATTATAATAATAAAAATAAATTGTTTATATACAGTAYAACAACCCACCACTGAATTACATCTGTTAACAAGAGAGTATATTAGCCTGGTAGATAATAGTAATCTTCACGGTTCCCTGCACCATTGTGAAAGGTAGCCGTGCTTTACATCAAAGTGAGATGACCGTTGAGCGTGCAATGTGAATATTTGTCAGTAGTGTTGTAAATATAATGGGTTCCCTGTGTTGACATCTATGATGTCATCAATTAGGACACTAATARGAAATCAATGTAATATAAGGCAGCGTGAACCAGAACCTTCTCATGTTACTATAATTGTAACATTGGTGCCGATAGTTGGTGTTTGGACCAAGTGTCCAAAAAATTGAAACATGGAACAGAAAGGGAAAAGACAGAGATTGGAAGAGACTAGAGAAAAACTACGAATTCAGATCAAACAGTCCATTATCAATGCAAACGCCATCATGGCTCAATCTCAGACTGTCACGATGAATGACCTCAAGGAAGTTTTAAATCCTTAAGCAGTAGCAGTTAACAAAGCACACCATCTAGATGTTGCAATAGCACTAACCCTCAATGACAATGAAACGATTGAAAGAGAAACAGACGCAGCTCTAGATTATGAAGATAAAGTTTTGCCTACAAATCACTAAGATAAGGATGTTCGTAACACAGACTGAWCGCAATCAACCATGTACACTCAATCTAGTGTCTTATCGCGTCTCGCGTCCCCTTTGCAGACTTCACGACAGCTGGAGTACTTAGAAACCAGAAAGAAGAAGCCAGAAATGACATACATGTAGTCAAGGCTCATTGTTGTGGAGAAGCTCTGAAAGAATCAGCCAAGCAGCAAGACTATGTCAAAACCCCACAACTCAAGGTAGCATTTACAACAGCCAAACAAGAAACAAGGTCAGTCAAAGAGAAATCGAAGTCATGTGGCGATCTCGAAGCCGCAAGCTAAGGCAACAAGCAAGGAGACTACGAAACAATCCGTTCCAAGCATGAAAACGTCATATTCYATCATCATCTGAGTAAGAGTAAACAAGTAATCACATGCAAGACRAACACCAGGAAAACATCAACAAGAACAAAGACAACAAARAGCAAGGGCAAGCCTAAAGCACAACAAGCTAAAACAACAATGACATTAAATAGGAAGAACATAGCTCATTTAAAAAAAACATGCTGGTCAGAGGAAGTGCAATAATCGTTCCTTGGTGGGCAGGGCTGTCTAAAAGTCTTTTAGGCTTTCTAAAAATGTGTCTTCATAACTACAACTTAATGTTCATAGCTTTGTTTTAATTTCCACTTTCCCACGCCCCGGAGGGTGTTGTAAATACACCTATTTCAAAAAACGTTGTCGTCACCACGACACAGTCCACAGGCAAACCAGAACTCTAAATCGGAGTATTTTGAATAACTGAAGTTGAATATAATTATAATTATATATGGCAATCCCGAGATTCTTTGCAGGCTCAAGACCATGGACTGTGTCCTGGCAACGACAACGTTTTTTGAAATAGGTGTATAATGAGTTCCCTGTGTTGACATATATGATGTCATCAATTAGGACACTAATAAGAATGTAATTAGAACTAAGTCTTTAAAATAAAGGCAGAGTGAACCAGAACCCTTCTCATGTTACTATAATTGTAACAAGTAGGGGTGTATCCAGCAACTTACGAAGGAGGTGGCTAACTCAAGAAAAAAAATAAAGAGGTTTAGGGCTGCGGAAAATGAATAATAGTTTCCTTCACGGTTCCCTGCGCCATCTTGAAATGTAGCCGAGCCTTTGCATTAAAGAGAGACGATCGTTGAGCGTGCAATGATAGAAACATGTAAATATTTGTCTGTAGGTGTGAAAGAAGGTTTCTATCATAGCATGCTCAACGGTCATCTTGCTTCAATGCAAAGGCACGGCTACCTTTCAAGATGGCACAGGAAACCTTGAAGAAGACTATTGGTTCAGTACCTGTACATCATAACAAGTGCAATAGTCTCCTTCACGGTTAACTGCGCCATCTTGAAAGGTAGCCGTATTTGCTGTATTCAGTACATGACCCTGGGGTATACAAGATAATGCCACAATACATGTATATTGTTATACATGTAACCACTACAATAGTCTCCTTCACGGTTACCTGCACCATCTTGAAAGGTAGCCGTGCCTTTGCATCGAAGCGAGACGACCGTTGAGCATGCAATGATAGAAACCTTCTTTCACACCTACAGACAATTCTTCACAGGTTTCTATCATTGCATGATCAACGGTTGTCTCGCTTCGATGCAAAGGCACGGCTACCTTTCAAGATGGTGCAGGTAACCGTGAAGGAGACTATTGTAGTGGTTACATGTATAACAATATACATGTATTGTGGCATTATCTTGTATACCCCAGGGTCATGTACTGAATACAGCAAATGTCTCTAGTAGATGTTTAGGTAATTGAGTATTAAATTAAACAACAGAGAGAGATAAGGTCAGATAACCTACTAAATATGGAAATATGTACTATTAATCATAGAATGTTGCAAATTATTTAGTAAATGCAAGTGCCTAATTGTCACTTAAGGTATGCAAGAAAACATTTTGCTAGTGCTGACCAGACAATGACTAAAGACATACAAAGGGCTATGGCATTATTAGCATTTAAACCTCAGATGGCTTGTTCTCCATATAAGGTATAGTAACAACACCAATCGTTTTCTGACATAATTTACATTTTAGGAGAAAAATGTATTTGCTKATCATACTTTGTATGGCTACATCTGTAACAATCAAATTTGTTTTGATTAATTGTGTGTCATATTTTTAGAGTTTGCAATGGATAAGAAGATAATTCAAAAGAATTATTTGAGAAAACTATTAAAAACGTTTTTCACAGACTATACTAATTATTATTCTTAATTGCTCATCAGTTTCTTCTCCAATCTTGTTAACAGGAATTGTTTGATCCATGTCGCTGGAATCGTTTAGTAGAACAGTTTAGAAAGGAGAATTTCCAACTTCATCAGCTTAATGAACAGTCAGTACTATCAGTTACACTACAAGCTGGCCTATCAGCATTAAAGACACCGTATCCTATCATGATTATTATGTAAAATATAATATGATATTCTATAGCCTAAAAGTAATATAAGACAAAGGTCTTGGCCACCATCTTTATTATTGTGCCATGATTTTCTTCATCTTTTTATTTGATAATYTGTCTAATTTGATTTTCCGACTTTTACAAATGAATGGAACTTAACTTYTGTAAAGTCACTGCTATCAAGACGGTCACAAGATGGCTGAATGTCCTGTTTGTAGTCACCCACTGAACATCCTTGGAGATCCTCTACCGTTTGCTCATTGTGCCCAATCACGTCTTGTTTGTCCAATCTCAGGACAAATTATGAATGAAAATAACCCGCCTATGGTCTTACCAAATGGTTTTGTGTATGGAGAAAAGGTAACARCTGCAGCTATAACAGTAAAATACTGGTGACGGCAAAGAAGGGGGGGCTGGGAAAGCTCTGGTGTGAATTTTGTGTCTCCSCTTGGGTAGGAACAATTGAGGATTTTGGTTGAATCCAAGCTTATCCCTATCATGTACTGGGTTGGTGTGAGGATCCTGGGGTGGGTGAGGGGAGGGGTTGGTGTGGGGATGCTGGGGTTGGTGAGGGGAGGGGTTGGTGTGGGGATGCTGGGGTGGTTGAGGGGAGGGGGTTAGAAGTTATTGCATACAAGACCTTATAGCTATTTTTAAAAAGGGTTGTCAGAGAGAATGTTGATTGATGCAGGACAATTCTGCAGATGAAAGAAACCATGGTTTCAGTTATACATGTAAATTCTGTGATTGCTGATGCCTAATCAAACCCTTCATTAATAGATTCTTATGATTCAAGGTAGATCTAGGCATTTATTACATGGATATTTAGATGTTAAGATAGCTATAATCACTGTATCGCCTAAGTAGTCAGTCTGTAGGTAATGGATAGCTTTGTCACCAGCTATTCAAATKTATCATGATCATATTCATGCAAAGTGAAGTACATGTAGCTGCATAACAAATTTATATTTTTTTCTTTAGGCACTGCACATTATGTCCCGCGAAAAGCAAGGCAAGGTCACATGTCCAAGAACCAAGGATGATTTTCCCCTAGACCAGGCCATGAAGGTCTACGTCATGTAGAAGAGTTAACAGTTATATTTTATCATTTAGTTAAGTTTGTTTGAGAGAAGTTGCTTTATAAATGAATAACGTTTCTGGTTGTACAGTATATGCTGTGTAATATAATACTAACAACACTATCTACTGTACTATTATTCGCATAGCCTATGTATTGTTTTGTTTTTGGTTTGGTTTGGTTTGATTTTGTTTGGTTTGGTTGGAATTGGTTTTGTTTGGTTAGGATTGGGTTGGGTTGGTTTCCTTGTTGCTATTATTCTTTTAAAATGAACTACACGTACTTTTGCCTTCCCTGCATGGGAGAGTAACCAGACAGAATTTTAGGGTTGCTRCCATCTTATGAAATTAGATATGTCATCCAATTAGATCTCATTCTAGATTCAAAGGAAAAATTAAGGTGTCCCAATAGTATATTTCAATGTTTAATAAACCTTCTAATTTTCCTTGTTGAAACTGTACATTTTCAATGACCACAATCATTCACAATGTGTACATCTTGTGCATATCATTCTAGCAGGCACCATGATGATGCACTTCAAAGAGCATGGTCAATCATCATTCAACAAGGATCACATAAGCAGCCCATCATTCAGTCTTTATCAGACTCCAATAAGAAGTCTTCTCGAATAAACTCTAATTTATCATTATTATTTTCTTATCTCTATTACATGTTTGTTTTAGTTTATTATTGATGGGTTCTAACTTAGAATATCTACAAGTTGTATCATAGGTAATAGAAAGGACTGTCCTCTCATTAGCTATGGTTGTATGAAGTATTCACACTTCAGAATATATGGTTTACCAAATTTGAAACCAACTTATTCAATGGTTAGTTTTCAGATAAGAAATAAAATGTATAAAAATTAGACATTGTCATTATATTTAATTTCTTTATTATAGTCTGCAGGAACCTATCAGAATAGTCTTAACAACTAGATCCCGAGGGCAAGTGGACTACAAGCTGATAGATATCAGCTAAATTAAATTTGCATAAATTGTTGGCAACTACATTTGACACACTAGGCATGTTTGACAAGTGAAAATTTATAATGAAATTAACTATACATGCTCGGTGAAAGCTGTTTTTGAATGAACAGACTTAAAATTAATTGTCCTTAACATATTCTTTTGACCTGCAATATTTCTAAAAGAAAATCAAAATTCATTTGGCACCTTTTCACTAGTCGAGGRCTATTGAAAATAGACCCCGTGTAGCGTAGCCTGCAATCAGTTGACAACGAAGGATTTTCATTAGTCCACTAGTATGGTAATACTAAATCCTAGCTGATATCCCCTTAGTTCTTATGAAACAGTCTGTACTGTTGCTCCCTTCAAGCAATTTAACAGTTTAACTTGACCAATGCATTAGTCTAAAATGTACTTTTATCACAAAATCTTGATTTTTAGAAAAAGAATGGTCACAATCATTAAGAGCATTATCCCTCCACAAATGTACATGTATACACACAAAAAAATATGCCCTTGACATTCACCTCAAAGCAGCACAGGTATAATAGTTAGTACTCCTAAAATAGTAATGTGACGCTTACAATATAATTAAACAACATGTTGAAAAGCAGCTGATAGGAGTCTACAAAATTACTCTCTGGGGTTCCTGTGGTGAGTGAGGAATGCCTTGCAGGAGCTGCAGAGGAAACCATCATGGCAACATCAACAAGATCTTTACGGGATTTCAGGCTGTTATCTCGGCGGTTGTGGTGCATGAGGAAGGTCAGCAATTATCCATTTACCTGCTGCAAGAATATTTCTTCGTTCCATAGTAGTCTGCTACGATGTCAACCGAGATGTTTTAGCTCAGAAGTAGAACTTACAAGCGTTCGATACAATGTGAAGAGAGGAAATTACGCCAATGTAAGGTTTAAATTTTCTGATTATGCCTTTTAGAAGAAGTCTACATAACAATACTACTATTATTTTCTTCAAATTTGAGTAGCATGTATTCAAAATCAAATCAAGATTGTACGGGAATACTAAATATAACGCCAAAAAATCYATCTTATTTGTGGGTAGGTCACTGATGCTGATGTTACAGCATTTGAAAGGATTCTTCCTGGTAGAGTAGTTACAGACCCTGATGATATTGCACCACATAACACTGATTGGTTACAAACTGTCAGGTTAGGAATTACTTGAGTTGAAGCCCTATATTAAGCCCATCACATCCAAATGAGATCTTGTATCCATTCAGTAAAATGTTTTATTTTGATACATTTAATGTCCACACTTTTCCACGACGCTTGGTGGTTTCAACACATTGTCTCTGGAGATTATACAGAATAAGGAAACCAAAACCTCAGGACTATTGTGTGGAGTGGAAGAGTCCTAATAGTTGCATTGTTTGCTATTCGAACTTTCCAGATACAAATTTTTTCTAAAAAAAAATTAAAAAATCTTCAATTTAATTCGCAACAGACTGCTGTCAAGTGCTTTGGCACCAAACAGTTGTTTGAAAATGTTGATTGATGGCAGTCTATCAGTAATTGCACATCATAGATTTTGTCTGGGCTGGTTGCATGACAATTTGACAGACAGTTATGTACCCTCCATATGATTAGTCTCTTAAAAATTGGCTTCTCATATATTTATTCACTTTAAACATGGCTTCTAAAAATGGTCTATCTT